ACTCCCATAGTCACTCTCACTCACACACACTCTCTCTCACACAAACTCATTCTTTCACTCACTCACACACACTCACTCACACACACACACACACACACACACTCTCACACACACATACTCTCACACACACATACTCTCACACACATACACTCTCTCACACACACAAACATACATTCTCTCTCTCTCCCTCATGCACTCTCTCTCACACACACCCATTCTCTAATGAAACTACGTACAACATTATACGCGCAGTATTTCCAACGGTGATTCAAGGCGACTTGCCCGCTACTATCTGTGTGAGTCAGAAAGAGGACAATAAATCTTACACCAGTGTTTGAACACCAGGCCATCAAACGTTCCTTCGGACACCTAGACGCCGTTTGATGGAGCAACATTTGTTCTGACGCAGGCGGTTTCACGAATGGAAAAAGAAATAATTACAGACACTCGGAATTCTCTTCTTTTGAATATTTCACCTCTCTTCTTTTGAATATTTCACCTTTCTTCGCGATGACATCTTCTCAGATAACACCAGATACACCTGAGAACACGACATTCTCTAAGCATACAATTTACCTGCAGGCTACAACAGTTCCATCAAGGTGTCTCCTTCGTGCCAAAGAACTGCATGGCTGTTGGGTGAACAGTCGTTAACGAAGGCAGTCAGGTCATTGTTGGGGCGAGGCTTGCTGGTGGATGTAATGTCCCAAATCCCTTCTCCATCTAATAATGAGGGTACTGCTGGGGTGACCCTTTATTAACCCTCACATAATGCTTCAGGTCCAAATGGACACTAGGCACTGCCACTGTTTTGAGCCGAGGCAAACATTTTTGCTTCTGCCAGACTGTGGCCGTTGCTTTTTTTGCTCCATTTGTAGACTGGAAGTATATAGTTTCGTTGCCCAGCCTCTAAGTTGAGTGCATGGTGTGACACTGTGAGCTGCAGATTTCATTTTGAATGTTTTTCGACTGACCAACGTGGTGGTGTGATTTGTAGATTCAGAAAATGGCGCAATGCCGGTTGTCGCAATATTGGTGGGGCCATTATTTGATTAAAATTGATCGCGTGTGCAACTGCTGATCTTTTAATGACTTCTGCTACCATCAATGATGAACTGCATTTCTAACGTTGGACTGTTTCTGTTAGCACTTCGGATGGCTACCATATGCTTTTAATGCGAGTGTATGCTAGATTTGCTGAGAGAGCAGTTTGTCAGTCTTTCCACAAGGGACTGTGATAAACATTCTGTGTGTTTTTCGCTGGCACAGAAGCGGAGCAAGGATGGGGTGACCCGTTTGCTATGAAGCTGAAATTAAAATTACCAGATTACCAGATTACACACACACACTTACTCTTAAACATACTCACTCACTCACACTCTCTCTCCCTCTCTCACACACACACTCTCTCTCTCTCTCTATCATGCACACACACAGAGCACTATATATCCATCTGGCAATAATAGAAATTTCAATAGGATGCTGTGGAATAGCCACACACTCGTGCGCACTCTCTCTCTCTCTTTCAAACACACACATGCTCTCTAACACACACTCTCAACAGAATCCAACCCCTATTCAAGGGAAAAGGAGAGTGGGAGGAATGCGGGTCCACAAATAGAAAAAAAAAACAATGGAAAATTTTTCAATTACCTGATAACTTGCCTCTAATTGCCAAAATATCATTTATCAAGTTTTCCAATGATGATTTCTCAACAACCTTGCTAAAATATGTCTCCGTCATCATCGAAACATCTCGAACAATTGCTAAATGAAGCTCCTTCTTTGTCTAAAGATTAACAGAACATTCAAATGGACATTACAAAAAATGTACATTAAGTGTGAACAGAAAGTATAAAATATGCTTCAAAACAATATGCAGTAACCTGACAGTGCCCCATAAACACAGACATTTGGATTAATGTTTGCATAGCTTGATGTATCTGAGCAAGTAAGAATGAATTCATTCAACTCTACTTACAATTTAAAAAAGTGCTGCTAAAATAATTAAATTGTCCAGTACTGTTCTGTATAAATCTAACTCCCTCTGAGAAAGACATACACACATAAAAAGATTAAGAGAAAAAAGAGGCTACGCATATGATTCGATTCACTGAGCAGACAGGTTTCAGCAAAAACAGAGTTACAAAAAATAAAAAATTAAAATTAAAATTTTTTTTCATTTTCTTCATTTCCCTTTTTTTTTAAACCGCTCAATCTGTTAAGAGAGATACAAGATTCTGTTCTTAATATTCTGACCATTTGACCATTCTGTTGTAGAGTTTCTCTTTTCCCTCTTTTTAGGTCTATGGCTCTGCATCTCTCTTTTAGCTTGGCTAGATATATATCTTATATGGTGGCTTGCAGAGAATGGAGGTGGAAGGTGCAGTCTCCAGAAAACAAGGCAGAGACGAAGATTGATACAAGACACTGAAGACAGGCAAGACATGACTAGAGACTTGCAAAGTGCTTAACATGAGATGACGGAGTGGTGTGAACAGATAGGGTTAAAAGTGAACGCAGAGAAAGCCAGTGTTTTGTGGTGCTCTTTGAATAACAGCACTGAAAAGGAAGACTTGCCTAACATATCCATGAAAGGTATTCATGTTGAAAAAAAAAAGATAAGCTGAAATACTTAGGTTTAACATTTGATCGCAGTCTGTCCTACAAATATCAGGTGGAGCAGACTTTTATCAAACGTAAGCGTGGCCTGGTGGCACTGAAGACGATGGTGGCGACACACATGGAACAGAGATTATTGGTCTTGCTCAATCATTTGGTTTTTTCTGTAATTAATTATGGCCTAGAAATATATACTCTTATCTACTTCACAGTGTACAAAGCTTGAAAGGAATCAAAATAAAGGAATGAGAATCGTCTTGGGTTGCACAGGAGATACCCCAATTAGAAGAATGAAGTATATGCTTCAGCTGACATCGGTCAAGTCTAGACTGTCACTGGTGCAAGCCAAGACCAGTATGCAAGTTATCAATGATGAAAGGCATCCGTTGCATGGTAATCTGAATGATTTGAGGAGAGCAGACTACTTGAAAAGACAAAAGTCAAGGATGGCACTACCATTGAGAAGGCGGCCTTGGTCAAGCAAATACACAGCGGACAGGAATGGATCATCACGAATACCCACAACAGCAGTTTCCATCAGGTCATTATCACATCAGGAAAAAGATGTAGAGACTGGTGTAACAGTATGGTAGAACTAGAGGTACAACAACTGATAGATGGAAAGGCTGGGCTAGATGATGTAGTAATGTATTTTGATGGTTCCGTTCATCAGGGAGTAAGATCTGGCTGGGGATTTTCAGCTAGAATAATGGGAAAAATTGTGGCAAATTAAAATGGAGCTTTTTTTCATCAACAACGTCAAGCATGAAGGAGGCAATCCCTGCAGCTCTGGATAGCAAAAAACAAAGTTACCAGAGGAATTATTGTGTCTGATTCTCAGTCAGCACTGTGAAAGGTTCAAAATGGACTAATGAGGCATGAGTGGATACCATGCATCAGTACGCCAACATTGCAGGGAATCACGTGGATATACTGTCTGGGAAATGCAGAAGTGCAAGGGAATGAAAGAGTCGATTTTCTTGCTACAAAAGCGAAAGGTATGGGAACAGTGGTACTGGACAAGGGAGATATTCTGAAGATCATATATGAACAACTGCTGACAGAAGACACAAGATTGGATTAAATAACATGGGCAAGAATGTGTGAACGAGGAATTAAGTGTGGATCCGGCAAGGAGGGACGGATGAGAGGAAGAGAACAACGTGCGTATAATCGGTGTGCAACAGAAACAGTTAACATCTACACCTAAAGACATTTGCTGCGGGAGACAGAGCATCTATTGGTATACCCGATGTGCTATGATGTCGATTCTTAAATCAGTAATCAGTACTGAAGATGCACTGAGTATGAAAACACACAGGCCTGGAGAATCGAATATGAAGTCAATGACATTTTGTAAAGGACTTGTTGGTCGCTGATCATATATCTTTTATGGTACTGCATTTTGTATCTTTTTACGTGATCTAGCACTGGTTCAATGCTGACTTTCCCCCCTCATCACTTCACTATTGTCCGTCTCCCCTCTAGTCACTCCTGCAGCCCTTATCACGATCTTTTTTGTGGTCATTACTTCAACAAATAAATCTTCTTCTTCCTCTTGGTTACCGACTGTAAACTACAACAGAAAGTTCTGACTGTTCGTTCACCTCCTGACTTTGGTATTGTTCCAGAACCAGAATGTCATGTGCACATTCGTTTTACAGATCTGGCTTATTTGTATGCAGACTGTTGGCTCCTCACCTCTCAGGCAGATGCACTTTGACTTCAAAGGATGTCCCCAATTAGTCAACTCCTTTGATACGTTTGTTGGGGAGGCAGTGAGTCTAGTCTTGTTTTTCCCACGATGGTGCCCCATAATGCACAAGGAGATTAAAAAAGATGATTGAAAGATATTCATGACCAGAAAATCCAGAAAAGAAAAAAATTTTTTTTTTTGAAATAAGTATTATAATTATAACCTGGAGATGTAAAACAAAACACAAAAAAACATTTTAATAAAACTGGCAGCCGTCATAGCTTGGTGGCTAAACCATCTGGCCTCAGGGTGTAGAATTCAAATCATCATGAGGCAGATTTTGTCAAAAATAACCTTAGCTCCCAGGTTGACCCAGCCTGAAATGGGTTCCAGGTAATGTCATGGGAAGAAAAGTCGGCCAGCAAGATTGTGACCCAATTGAGTGCTGATTGGTCTATACAAATATAGGTACAGCACTATATGCCCTAAGCAAAAAAAAAAAAAAAAAAAGGCCCTTTTACTTATTACTTCACAAATAAAATTAAAGACGAGTCAACAACAAACACACAAAGAGGGATATGTCAGCCAACAGGAGCATCTATTGCATATCTGATGAAACAGGTACAATACAAATGTATTCAATCAAACAAAAATACAGGGGAAATTAAGAATAAATAATAACCACTAACCTTCTTCATGTATTTGGCGAAATCACTTCGGCTTAGAGTTGTGGCTTCTTTCTTCATGTTCAACTTCTCTCCAGACTCCACATCTTCAGTAATCTTTACTTTCTTCTCTTCTTTCTTTGCTTCTTTGGGTGTAGAATCCTCTGGCTTCCTCCTGTGCTCACTGCTTCTCCTCTCAGACTTATCTGAGGATCTCGGCTTAGCACCATCGATACAAGCATCCTGCTTCTTGTCTGTAGACTTGTCTTTCTTGCTTGAAGAATGCTTAGGTTTGGAGCTAATCCTCTTGACTTTCTTCTCAGACTTTGGCACGGCTCCATCTCCAGAGACTGCGTACACTTCCACCGCAGGACTGGACATCTTGTCCTGCAGAGTACAGAAGTTTGTAACAATCACCGACCATACTCTTGTGGCTGCCCACGTGTGCGAGAGTTACTGTTTGCATGTACACAAATACATTGCAGAAGGCAAGCACTAACACACAAAGGCAACCTATCTGCACTATTTCTGTGGATGTTTGATGAGCTATCTACATATGTTACCACAGCTCAAATGGCTAGGAAAGGATAGTAACACCTTAACCTCCTACGTGTGACATCAGGGTAAGCAAAGGACAGTAGACCTGAGATTATTTATTTCATTTTGAGGAAACTTCAGCTGCCAAAATTAAATCAATTAAGAAAGAAGTCTACAGAAGTTTCTGCCTTAGCTGGGTGAAGACCTATGCTGCATTTGAAACAAACAGGATCCAGGCAGGTTTCAGGTCCAGTTTAGGTTGAAACAAATAACAGACCCACTGCTCCTTGATAAGCATGTCTTAAAAGGTTTGTTGACACTGGATGTGTTGTGCTGAGAAGCGCATATAATGCAGCCTACATGTAGATCACAACACAATGTGCCAGCCAACCTTTTAAAGGTGAACACTGAAGAAGTAGAAGCGGAATTCCAGGAACTACTCATGTTTTCAGGCCCAGGGGTAAAATGATTGGCCGTTCATTGATGCATCTTAACCTTTCACAGGCGCAACTTTCTCTTACAGGGGTGTCAGGTTAGAATGCACTCTCCCATGGGACCTAGGCTAATGCTGTTCCATGGCCAGATCTGTAAAATGGATGTGCATGCAAACGTTTAGTTCTGGAACAAGCTAAAGTCCAAAAGTGGATGCCAACCAGAACATTCAACCTAAATTTACAGCCGGTGAATGCAAAACAGAAAGAAGATAATCTAAAGTGCCAGACAGAATGAAGCCAGCCACATCTTAATTGTTTGCTGTGTGATTCAATGGTTAGTATCAGTAAAAGTGATCATTCATGAGAACAATTAGAAATGTTTTCAAACAGTTTTTAGTTGAACAGCTGGGAGATAGTTTTTTTTTGTTTTGTTTAAATCAGACTCGATTTAGATTTCAACCTAAAATCTTTAGACCAGCAGGACAGTGGAAATGGAGGCAGAGTTTGTCCAACATAACTGGACAAAGAACAAAGACTAAATATGGCATGACCATGCATAAGGCAAGGGAACTGGCAAAGGATCTAAAATCCTTCCAGCAGGTTGGGATGTTAGTGACTTCCACAAAGAACTGGCTAGACAAGAACACTTCTACATTCAACCCATCCAAATCACACACACCCACACAATATTACCTCACGGCTGACTGCAGAAGCCACACTGCCACCTCTGGCCATTAACTCTCCTGTCTCTTCAGAAGCTGATGTTGAGGCAGCTGCCCTGTGTAGTCAAAGAAAATAATTACCACTTGACAAGAAAGCCAACTACCAAAGCCTATAAAGTAAACTGCACAATGAAACCTCAACAGGAACTTGTTTAAGATAAACACTGATTAACAAGAACACAAAAAAACATGCTATTCATAATACATCTATTAATCTCCGGTAAGCAAAATTGTTGTTCACACCTAACTTTTCAATCCACTGAGATTATTCAAGTAAGGTTTGACTGTAATAAATGAACTAACACACAGCAGCTTCTAAACAAAGTAAGTAAATTACCTTTTTCCACACTTTCATGCACACTGGGCATAGATAGAGGGCTAGACAATATTTTATAGACGGATCGGTATTATGTGGGTAATGTGGTCAACATCATGCTAACCGTCTTTACTTCCCAGGACTTTACCTGGTACCCATTCAAGGCTGGGTCTACCTAGGAGCAAGGTCTTTTTTTTTAAAGCCCTGCACCGTTAGGACTTGAACTGGTGACTTTTAGATCCGAAGGCCGACACACAGACTCTACATCACGGAGGCTCCAAAACCAAGTAACAAAAAAGCAATAAATGTATTATTTGAGCAAGACATATCACAGCTTCTAGACAAAGCAACGAAGACAAATGAAACAAATACAACACTTGATAAGACAGCCAACTACCACATCTTCTAGACCTGTGATCTCCAACCTTTTTCAGGACGCACACACCCCCCTCCACCCCCACCATGTATATGACAAGACCGCCCACCCCCAAAATAAATAAATATGATTAAAAGGTGGAGGACAATAGATTATGCAAAAAGATAAAAAAGATACTGGGGGGATATGTTTTGGTCAGAATGCGTTCTTAATCTGTAAATGCCTGTGCCTGTGTTATATTAATTAGATTTTTAACTGTAGATACACAAAGTGCTTATGACTTGGGATTGTAAGAGAGGAAAATAATAGCTAACTAACTTAAACATACCCGCCACTAGCTGCAATTTCCTCCTCTTTGTTGACAGCAACCCCTTGGAAAAAGTCAGAAGACTCGGAAGGGATCTCAATGGCTACAGCATTAGCTCCAGACTGGGCACCTTCCATCATCAAGAGATTCCTGGGCATGGGGACAGGAGTCCGTTGTTTTGAGGCCTTACTCTTTGGAAGAGCTGAAGTGTAGGCTAACCTTCCTTGGATGGTGGACTGTCCAGCTTTTGAAGCAGCCAGCAAGTCCAGTAACTGCTTACTAGAGACATCAACATTACTAACAGAAGCAGCACCATCCGTCTCTACAGAGGATGCTCGGAAGAATTTGGCATTAGGCTCATTTTTGTTGTTAGTGGCCCGCTTAGGTGTTAACGTTGGGCTCCTGTCCTTCTCCAGATTGATCATAGTGTGGTCTGAGAATACTACTTTCTCACAAACTTCAAAAGGATCTTGACTGGGAATGAAATTCTTACCCAAGGACCCAGGCTCAGAGCAAAGAGGTTCTATCATCTTTGACAATCCATTGGCAATGATATCCAACTCAACCTGCTGAGCGTTAAGCCTTTCTTCTGGCTTTTTGGAGTTCTGCATGCTGCTCATCTGGCCACCATTTATCTCAAAAAAATTCACCATGAATTTTAGCTTCTCCTCTGCCGACAAAGCTTCTGCTCCTTCCCAAAGAGGCATTGTGTTCCTGTCACTTGTGCGGTCTTTGGCAACAGCAGAATCCCTCGACGCAGCTGACACTTCCTGACCTTGTGTTGCCTGATTGTAATTCTCATCCCCACCAAAGTGTAGATTTCCTGGTGTTCCTGCACCGTGAGGATACACAAGCCAGTGAGACTCTCTTTCTGGAAATGGAGCTGTGGGTTTTGGTCCATCAACGGCACTAGACTGCTCAGCAGGAGGATGGGGGTAAACTAAAGGCTGAAGTTCACCACCTGGGTCTGTGGTGGGGATATACAGGACAAAGGCTGGTGCTTGGACACTGACTGCAGAAGAGGAGGAGGAGGAGGAATCTGTGTTATCAAAAGTGATGAGCTGTTCTGTGTCAAGTCTCTTCACCTGCAGCTGCAAGATATCTCCTCCTTGCTTGACTAGCTGTAACAAAAAAAAAAAACAATTTTTTAAAATTCACAAATACATACTTGAAAATGAAAACTTTTAATATCCTATAGAAATAACAATAACCAGGCTACTGTCTTTTAATCTGTCAATATTGTTGTTAAGGATGTAAAGAGTGTTAAGCATGTGATATCACAGTGTAGATGAATATAGTGACATCCTAATGACAGTGCATAGATGGTCACCCCAATTCGGACATGCAGAAATGATAGCAGCATTCTGTTATTAATTCTCACAGATGGGGTACAACACACAGAAACTCACCACAGAATGAAGGTCCAGTATGGTGTTCCATGCCTGTCAGTCCAGCTAGTGTATGAGTGGAGTGGGAAGTTTTAAAATGGCATGTTCTGTGACACTGTTCACGACTGGGACAGGCACACCGAGTAGTAACCCCAGAGTCTATACTGCAGCCACCCAACCCAAGGCCCCGCACATGCAGCCGCAGACTGACTGAGTGACATTGCTGCATATCTTAACATTAGTCAAGGTTAAGCTCACCACATCATCCATGATGTGCTACCACCAAGTGTCTGCTCCTCTCTGGTGCATGTCAAAAGTGGGGTGGTCATCTTTAAACTGCCATTATGATGTCAAGCGTGTTCATCTGCATCATGATATCATATGCTCAACAGTAATGACAGGTTACAAGACTTTGGCTTGGTTTTTTTAAGTTGTATAATATGTGGTAAGTTATCTACCATACTTTTACAGTTTTCATCTGAAGCTCCCTCGTACATATACACAACATTACTGCACAACATCTACACAAAATAACTATTTCACAAATCTATATGGTAACATATCGGCTCTGCATTCAGGGAAGCCACTCTGGATGGTGAGGAATGTCCATATGTCCCTGCCTTTTTTAGAGAGCCAACTAGCATGCACATGGCTGGTGTGGATGGGTCTTCTTGAGATGAGGGATCACACCAGCCATGGATTATGGGAGCAGGAACTGATTACTGATAGCAACAAAGGGCTGTGCAATGCACCATGAAGAAAACCTGGAAGTTTCATATGGTTAAATGACTGACAAAATGTCAGTTGTGTCTGCTGAAAGCTGCAAACAAAGCAGCTATGCTGTGTACAGGCACAACACAATTATGCCCAGAATAATCACTGGAGGTACAAAAAAAGAAAGTGTGAAAGACTCATTTTTTTTCACCTTGAGCCATAGTCAGAAGATGGTGCGACCCCCCTCCCCCCCATCCATGAAGCAACCACATAAACAAGACGAGGATCCACCAGGTTCTCTGCTGTGATGAAGTGCCAAACCACTCATAGTACCCACAGTCTGCCAGATAATTCCACTCCTGCTGCCATGAGAAAAAGGTATTCACTGAATTTTGCCTGGCAACTCAAGAGAGAAGCAACAGTCCTCAATTCCACCAAGCAGACACGGGTAAACAACTGATGCCCATCATGTGGGAGAAAAACAATGAACCATCTGCTCTTAAGGTATTCCCAAAAGGCTATTATTAATTCAGTCAAAAAGCACAGCTACTGCAGCCTAGCTGTGAACAACATTATAATGTGCCAACCACTCTTTTAGGAAGAATGCAGTAGGAGGAAAACAGTGCGTACCCTCACAGCTTCAGAAAGCTCAGCATCACTTCCAACTTGTACCTGCAATGAAATTCATATATATTTGATAAACTCTCAACAAGTGATTAAGCACAGTAAAATCATCATGACAGAAATTAACCTAAAAAGAGTACAGGTTACCTGCATCGGTAGCAGTGGCAAGGGGTGCATGCAATGGCTGTTATCGCCGCTTACACTTTCGAACATTTTATTATTATTACTGTCTAATATTTAGTGCTTCAAATAATGCTGTTCGGTTCACTTCTCACCGACTACCTAAAGCATTTTAATAAGTTTTAACAGTATTACTATTAATATAGCAAAAAACCGCTTGCTGCATGTTAATGCCACTGTAATGTGTGACAGGTACTGGTTTCTAATAAAATGTCAGATTATAAATGATGAAAGCCGCGCAGGCGTACTTACTAATTATCTTGCAAACAGCAGGCGACATGAAACAACAATACCACCTGATACCCTGTCAGCGCCAGAACCTAGCCCCCCAATCACAGTAATCTAAATCATCGCTGTACGTGTCAGCTTGTGCTGCGTTGTTCACGGAATTCAATTATTTTTTTGTTTAATGCTTTTTTTTATTCAAACATACCGCCAAAGTCAGCAGGCTTTTTCAAAATACTGAGAATAAAAGTATATGATTTTAACTATTGCCTGAGGAGAATGTAAGAATTTAGGAGGTTTGCGCTCACTGGCTGTAAACCCCGGCTGCAAGACCTGACTGTTAGTCCATTTCTGGACTTTGGCTTTGTTCTAGGACCTGAGTTTTGCGTGTGCATCCATTTTACAGATCTTGCTTATTTGTATGCAGACTGTTGGTTCCTTGCCTCTCAGGCAGATGCACTCTGGCTCTGAAAAAAGTCCCAATTAGAATACTCTTACAGCATGCTTGCTGGGGAGGCAGTGGGTCTATTCTTGTTTTCCCTACAATGAATGGGACCCTGAACCTACACGGGGAATTAAGGAGTGAATTTAGAAAACTACGTACAAGTTTGATGCATGCGTCACCACCTGCACGAAGATCCGTAGCTACGACGACGTTCCTCCATTTAACCCAGAGTGTTAACTCTGGTACCCATTTCCTAGAGGCTGGGTGAACCCCGGGAACCGTCCAGTTTCGAACCCCAGCCGTGGGCTGCAGCGAGTCATATATATATATATATCCATCCCACCTGATCATTTTTATTACTTTGTACTACTGCTTATTACTTCCTGGAGGATATTTTCATGACCCTTCAATAACAACCTGATAACCACAGAATAGGATTTTTTTATTCACAATAAAGTCAAAAATACTACATTCCCTAGTGTGTCAGACTGCATCCTACCCTTCAGTGAATTCTTCCGCAATCATTATCAAATATAAAATATGCTGTATTTCTTCTTCCTTCACCAGCTGTAAGCTCCAGCAGAAAAGTCATGGCTGTTGGTCCATTTGGACCTTGGCCTCATGCCAGGGCCTGGGTTTTGTGTGTACATCCATTTTGCTGGCTTATTAATGTGCCGTTGGCTGTTCCTTGCCTCTCAGAAAGATATACTCCGACCTTGAAGGAAGCCCCCAATTAGTTGAATCCTACGACCTGCTTGTTGGGGAGGCAGTGGGTATATTCTTATTTCCCCCACAATAAGGCCTCAAAAACCATGCAATAATAATTTTACCTTTTGTCACATAATTACCAGATTGTAACCAAGTGTCACATGTCTTGCACTTCTTGGATGGCTTGAATGATAGATTTGTGTTTTTCAAAAGGAACCAGCCAAATGTCTATCCATCTCTTTCTCTGTATCCCTCTCATCTTCTGTCAAGATGTTTTGCAGGAGAAGGTCTCATATACAGTTTGTTTTGGCTGCATTCTTACTAGATAACCAAATCACTTCATTCTCCGTTTTTCAATACAATTCAGGCAAGGTCTTTTTTTTTTCCTAAACAACCCAAATATGTTTCAAAAAGCAGCAGCTGATCTGCTTCCCTTAACAAACACCACATACAATCATTCACCAGTGACACGTTCTACCCAAACATCAATAACATATCATACCCAATCATTCTCATCATCCAGGTATGTGACACTGATTGCATCAGGTGGGTTCTGGTACATTCCACGCAGCTGAAATAAAGTTTCAATCATCAGTTTTCAACCAGTGGTGACATAGTATTAGGGGACAAAATATGTCATCATACTAGTTTATTAAATTGTATGAATTTTAAAAAAGGTAAAGAAATCAGACATGTCTCAATAACTGCTGGCATAATACAAAGAAGATGGCATTATAATGAGCACATAAATACTGAGAAGAGGGCAGACAATCACCACACAGGCACTGAAATAGGAAACAGACTGAGGACACAGGGGATTTCCAAGGGACACCTTGTGAAAAATGAGAAAAGCCAAAAGTGTGGGACTAAACAGTTATGAAATGAAAAAAATAAATAAAAAAAAGACTGCACCAACAATGTGAGCCCTATCTGACTCATACATTACATGACAGGATGACGAAATATCCGTTAACTCCACATAAAGGATCACCTTTCTAGACGCCATTACTATAACTTCCTATGTTTATACTTTAATACTTTTGCTGCAGTAGGTATCAACGACATGCCCGGTATACTATGTAGATTCAATTGGCCTATGGCAGGGCTGATAAACTAACCCCTGGAGGCCAAGCAAGTGGCCTGTGTATCACCGCCAGTTGTAGTGTATTACTGATCTTTCTATGCTGGGGCTCAGGCCCACGACAATTACCATTCTGGTGACTCTAAGGGTTCTAGAGTGTAGCAGGTCCTTTGCAGAATGTCACTCTCATCACAGTTTGTCTGAAAGAAACTCAAGTCTCTTGCAAGCTCTCTAGCCTCATGCATATTCTTACCTAAGGTGTCACTTATATCCTGTCTACATCTTCATACTTACTGGCCCCTGACCTTTTTTTCCCTGGTACTATGCCTTCTGCTATAATTTTTTTCAATCCGCCGTGAAGCATGATATGGCCAAAATATTTCAAGATGCTGTTTACTAGCCAATTTTCTTTGATGTTCAGATGGACATTTTAGTTAAGCTATTACCACCAGTGTCCTATAGATAATAGAGCATGTCTTATCCTGTCTTTTAGGTTTTTTTCAAGCTTCATACGACTCTCATATGTATGAATTCCTGCTATTCTGTACAGACAATTGTGTAGTTAACATTAACTGTCCCAGTGTAAATTGTTTTGCATATTCTAGGCCATGGAATCATGGGTAGCTATTTTCCTTCCTCTCCATATTTCTTTCCCCGAAAACTGATGACATTATGTCAGAAGTCCATGAAGGAAAAGAATCTCCCACAGTTGGGGATTGAACTCCACAGTTATGTTAACTTACTTTAATAAGCAGCACACTAACCACGATGCCCATCAATCTTTCCACGCAGAGAATGAATTGTAGATAAATGGCTGACATTGCAAGTTAAAGGATACTTGAAGGATTTTCCATCCATATTTTTGGATGGTTTTCAGGTTTTGCAACTGCAACACGTCTCTACCTACCACTAACTCTAAAAGAATAACAGTTCCAAAATAATAGCTACCTGTCGGTGAAACAGCTATATAATAACACAGCTCTCGAACCCGTACTGTAACAGCAACATAAATGTATATATTTACATATGCCTTAAAGTAATTTAGCTTTATTTATTATAATTACCAAGCTTTCAAAATGTCGCCATTTTTCCAAATCCTCTTGTCGCAGACACAATGGATCCGGTTGTTCTGCTTCTGTCGTATCGCACAACCGTACGGCCACGACAAGATCTTCGTCCCCCATTTCTGTCTCTCACAACTGCTGGAAACTTCTGAATAACTGTTTCCGACAAATGTTTATTATAGTGTTAGAAAAATGTGAAGATATTAGACGAAAATAGCAGTCACAAGATGGCCTACTGTCATCACGTCTGCAGACTCTGAACACGAAAAGCCTAAACAAACCAGTGAACTCAAATCCATCCGCGTCAACGAGTTCATGCCTATGTTTACAATAACAATCTTTGAATTTCAACACTTTTCAAATAGCTATAGCTGAATACATTTATCATTTTAAATTGACGAAAAAAATTAATATATTAACAATGTAAAGAGAAATGTAGAATAAAGTAATTTAATCTGTAATGTTTACTAATTTTGTTCTGAGAACATTGCTAAATATAGAACGTGACGTCTTTGACAGAGGTCTATATCACGTGACCAAACACAAGCTGCTATATTTAACCTTTTGGTGCGAAGGCAAAGGGCGTGGGATTTTCCATTAATTCCAATGCGAAATTTACTATTAAATTAAGCGAATCTGTGATTGTAAACTATAATTCAAATATCATATATGCGTAAAATTATTAAATATTGCATGGCCAACAAATATTTTCATCATTAATGTGATTCTATTATTGGATATGAGTCTTCCTTGGAAATGCTAATCCCCATACATATATATATTTACATATATATATATATTTATATATATATATATATATATATATATATACACACACACACACACACACACACACGCACACACATATCATTTGATGTACACTGCATACTAAGATTACACAAAAATGATATAATGGACACACATTACCACAATGATAAATATGAGGGCTGACCGAGGTATTTTTTTGTGTAATTACTACCACCAGAGCTTTTATCTTAAAAAAAAAAAGCTTAGGTGTACGAAAAAAAAAAAGTGTTCATAACAGATGCACTGAAACAAAAATGGGTTCCTATCACGATTCTCGGCCCAAATACACACTGGTTGACCTTTCAATTATGTTTTCAATCTGGTAATCTGGAATCTGGTAATTTTAATGTCAGCTTCATAGCAAACGGGTCACCCCATCTTTGCTCCGCTCCTGTGCCAACGAAAAACACACAGAATGTTTATCACAGTCCCTTGTGGAAAGACTGACAAACTGCTGTCTCAGCAAATCTAGCATACACTCGCATTAAAAGCATATGGTAGCCATCCGAAGTGCTAAAACAAGCAGTTGCACACGCGATCAATTTCAATCAAAAAATGGCCCCACCAATATTGGGACAACCGGCATCGCGCCATTTTCTGAATCTACAAATCACACCACCACGTTGGTCAGTCGAAAAACATTCCAAATGAAATCCGCAGCTCACAGTGTCACGCCATGCACTCAACTCAGAAGCTGGGTAACGAAACTATATACTTCCAGTCTACAAATGGAGCAAAGTAGCAACGGCCACAGTCTGGCAGAAGCAACAAAATTTTGCCTTGGCTCAAAACAGTGGCAGTGCCTAGTGTTCATTTGGACCTGAAGCATTATTTGAGGGTTAATGAACTGTCACCCCAGCAGTACCCTACTATTAGCTGGGGAAGGGATTTAGGACATTACATCCACCAGCAAGCGTCGCCCCAACAACGACCTGACTGCCTTCGTTAACGACTGTTCACCCAACAGCCATGCAGTTCTTTGGCACGAAGGAGACACCTTGAACTTGGGTTTCGGACTGCCGACTCCCTACACGAAGATATATGTGTGCTACTGGTGTCCCGTAGCCAAATTACTATCTCATTGTATTACTAAAATTCAGCACGCATACTCAAACGCGCAGTAGTTAACACACACACACACACACACACACACATACACTCATTACCTGCCACCCGCTTGCTTGCTGGTGCAGCACACATGACTACATATTTATACAAGTATATATATATATATATATATATATATATATATATATATATATATATATATATATATATATCGGGAGAGGGAGAGAGTGAGACAAGGAAAGAATCATGCCGAATGACCACAAATATGTAAGACACTGACACAGGGAATTCCCTATGCACACAAGGTCGGCATGACTGGCTCCAAGAAGGGGACAGTAAATTCAAATGGCTCAGTCAGATCAGATACAGTCCCTGCTGTGACAGAAAGTTGGCTGTTATAAAGGACTGCCGTAGAAATGTGCATCCAAGGGACGGTTTCAGAAAGAGATGCATACTTTGTGGTAGGGTAACATTGCTTGAAAAATGTAATCTGCAAGCCACCAGAGGTTGCATTCACATTTTCTAGAATCTAACAATAGTAATACACTAGCGATGACTAATAATAATTATTAACAGCTCAGCCAATACATGCATAAATCGGCGTAGACATAAAGAGAGAGATTAAGAGAGAGAGAGAGAGAGAGAGAGAGAGAGAGAGAGAGAGAGAGAGAGAGAGAGAGAGAGAGAGATCACCGCGTAGCTAATTACAGCAAATGTAAAGCGTTCATTGAGTCTTCTGTTTCGATATCCAAACGTGCTTGTTGTCCGCCATACTGTTTTTGCGTGCATCGATCAAGGCCTGAGAACAGAAAATCAAGTGCTGTGTCTCTACGTTCATTTCTAGGTGGCCACGGGGTCAAAGATGGAACTGCTGTAGCAGGGTGCTTAGAAAATGTCGTGTTCTCTGGTGTATCTGGTGTATCCTGATGTCATCGCAAAGAAAGGTGAAATATTTACAAGAAGAGAATTCCGAGTGTCTGTAATTACAGGGGCCGCGTTAGCGCAGTCGATAAGAGGCTCGCTTTCAAATCCAGCTGCCTCTAGGAAACGGGCACCAGAGTTGACACTCTGGGATAAATGCTCCCCAAAAATCCGTTTTGCTGCAGAAAAGCAAAGCTCTTCTCATTGTCGTTCGCCAATGCTGACAGATAAACTAAATTCATTTCGTACCTGAACTCAGTAGTATACGCAATGTCGCCACCAGCACGCAACAACGAGTAGAACACATTGCGTCCTCGCCGCCCACACGATGCACAATATAGAAAGCTCTTAGCGAACACAAGACAGTGTGACACCCCTCTAATATAGACTAACCCGTGTCAAAGGTGAACAAGGGCAAAATTCTTCAGCATATTCTCTCTATGTCTTGCCTCCAACTTTCCCATTGTCAGACGTAATTCATTTTCCCTCTTTTCTCGATGTGACCAAAGAATATAGGTTGATTTCTGATATTTATATTGATAGCAACCGAATCACGCGCATAACTAAAACATATTATGCATTAGCAGTAGTAGTAGTAGTAGCAGTAGTAGTAGTAGTAGTAGTAGTAGTAGTAGTAGTAGTAGTAGTAGTAGTAGTAGTAGTAGTAGTAGTAGTAGTAGTAGTAGTAGTAGTAGTAGTACCTACCTACCTACCTACCTATCCACCCGCCCGCCCGCCCGCCCATCCCCCGCCCGCCCGCCCGCCCGCCCCTACCTACCTACCTACCTGCCTGCCTGCCTGCCTGCCTGCCTGCCTACCTACCTGCCTGCCTGCCTGCCTGCCTGCCTGCCTGCCTGCCTGCCTGCCTGCCTGCCTGCCTGCCTGCCTACCTACATACATACATACATACATACATACATACATACATACATACATACATACATACATACATACATACATACATACATACATACATACATACATACATACATACATACATACATACATACATACATACATACATACATACATACATACATACATACATACATACATACATACATACATACATACATACATACATACACACATCACCTATAGTCTATAATAAACCCATTCGGCTGTGTACCCACACTGTCACATATAGTCTATAAGGTACGAGTAACGTTTTCCGCCCTAAACAAACTGGTTAGTCTTTCATTCATGCTTGCAGACCTTTCACACCTGCTAGTCTATGTTCAGGATAGGAAGGTTTTCCGGAGGGTTGTTATGGCAGCGAGGTTCCGCGAGGGACATGCTACTGAATGAATGAATGAGTCTATGTTACCTTGGTGTCACGTTGTGTTGTGTTGTCTTCGATGCTCTCACTGACGATGTCGCATATTCTATATTACATGATGTGACCGCTTATAACGACCCCAGAACATCTAGAGCTGGACCTGACCACAACGCCCCTTCCCCACAGCCTCAGCCTACATTGCATGGTTTAAAGTAAATTAATACTACTGTCGCTCATAGACTAGTGTGTGTCAAGGCCAACCAGTGTTTATTTGGGACAGAAAATGTTTTTGTACCATCTGTAATAAACCCATTTGGCTATGTGACTACTCTTTTGTTCCCATATAGTCTTTAATTAACCCATTCGGCTATGTGCCAACTCCTGGGGTCACATATTGTATATAATCTAAAATATCACTGTACAAGCTGGGCTGACTTGCAGGGAAGCAGACAAATGTGGTGCTGCTAAAAAAAAAATTTACCCTGCGGATTACATAAACAGCCTAGTAGAACTGACCAACTCTGAGGCGGTTGGGTCTGGCAAGATCAGTTTAATTTTCGTGCCAGGGCACTGAGGCGTGCAAGGAAATGAGCAACTTGCAAGTAAGGCTGCCGTGAAGGGTGGACGAGCCTTGAACGATATGATATACTAAATGCTCTATCCCGGTGAGACAGTGAGCTATGGTAAGAATACAAGAGGTTTGTCCAATTGAGGACATAGAACTTGGGGAGGAATGGGTACGTGTACCACCAGAGTGTCATACGCCCTTTGAAGTGCGCATCAAGCTTAACAAAGAATGCAGACAACAAACCCAATAGTTGTGGAAGCAGAAGTGCTGGCTTTGATATGCGAGAATTCTTCTGAGGGCGATGTGATAATCTACAGAGACGGGTCAGTCAAAAGCTCGTAGGCATTTACGGCTCAGGTCGGATGGAGAACTGTCAAACATGACTGCGGTGCCTTTACCTTGATGGCAAGCCGTTTGACAGTGGAGGTCATTAGAACAACTAAAGCAATAGCCTGGCTAGAAACAAGACTTTTACCT